CTGCCTGTGGTTCAGGACAGGAATGGACACAGTATATAAGCCTTTGTCGTCACAATAGCAGTAGTTGCTGTAGTGGTAACCTGGTGCCATATGAGAATGTAATGCAATCTTGGTGTAGTTGACTGCAATAAGATTAGCCACTGTTAAACCCGGAGTTACCCTAATCAGGTCCTGATCCTTTGTCTCAGTTAAACCAGGATTAGCATCAGCCCAGCCTTGTACCTTCAGGAGCTGCCTTTCCCTGCTGTGAACTGACCTTCTGACAGCCACTGTGAGGGAAAGTGTAGACTCGTTTCAGGGTTTCGATACAAATGATACAAAGTATTTGAATTAAAATATGTTGTTGTGATGATGATGACAGGCAGTGATATACTTATTTTCTTAGAGTAAGCACGAGTGATTACCATAAATAACAATGATGAGAATGACCAGTTTTAATCACAGTGGTTCAGCCGTGTGATCTGTTCACATGAAAGGGACACTCCATCTATTTTACAACCTCAGTTTACTATGATAACAGTGTAATGTTTTCTGTGGCTCTGGAGGAGCTTCACTAAGTTAGAGAAAAAATAACCCTGATGTTGTCATAATGATGTCATGAGGGTTATCTCAGTGTGGGCTCAGACACTATAAATCTATAACAGAAAGCCTGTGTTACAAACGGTTATTAACAGTGGAGTTTGAAAGGCATGAGCATTTAACAGACAGGGAGGGTCTAACAAAAGACCGAAGAGGCTTTGATCGTGTAGGTTTGACCCAAAGAACTAAAGGTCACGATATCTTGGTCACTGCTGCTTCAATCTGTTTTTAATCTGTCTCTTGTGAATCCTTCAGCCATATGGAGGTCCAATACTAAATTGCTGTAGTAGTGCTTTAATCTAGTGTAATAACCAAATCAGAAGTCACTCGACTGGGTCTCCACTGCCTTTACTGGAGTAAAAGAAAAGCAATTAAACATGTGCTGAGGGCAGTATCACACTGAATACATTGAATACGTCACCATTCTTCTCTTACTGACTGGCAGCAGGAGTCGTAGGAGGTGTTGCATTGTTTTTATGCAAGCTCTCCATGTTCTAATTCGGATCTATTGAACATAATACAACTAGTATTCTCTTTTTTCTTTTTTACTTTTATTGCTATCTTTATCTATCTAAACCCTTCTTGCTTTTTGCACATTTAAATGAAATATACTTTTAACCCCCTTAGGACACATGTGACCCTCACATCAGTGTGACCACACCCAGAGTCCCAGGGTAAAGAAAAACAAAAGGAAATAGACCCACATGCAAAATCTCTCATTGGCTGCTTGAGTTCATAGATGGCGTCTGTGTACACTCATGCATGCCGCACATGTGGAGTGAGCTCAATGCAGAGACACTCTAGTCATGTGATTTCTGATGTCACAGATGCTCTGACGTCTTACTCCTTTTTTTCGTCACCCGTCTCCTCTTCGTCTGCCGCCCATAACACACCAGCCTGGCCACCATCCGTCCCTCTGACTCATCACATTTTTCTCTCCTACTTTCAGATGTTCCTCTTTTCCAGCTTGTGTTTCATTGTGGAAGATTATGTCCTTGAAACCTTGTGTGTGTGTGTGTGTGTGTGTGTGTGTGTGTGTGTGTGTGTGTGTGTGTGTGTGTGTGTGTGTGTGTGTGTGTGTGTGTGTGTGTGTGTGTGTGTGTGTGTGGTCGACTTTCATCCTTCACCTCTCCTCTGTTTTCTGAACCCAGGGGAATTTGTTGGTCTATAAATATGATTCATAGCCCCTGCAGCTGTATTATATTGCTGTCTGTCTGTCTTTTCGTCCCATACTCAGGTCAGAAAAGAAATGTCCAGACTAGCAGCATATTTCAGTGTGAGGTGTGAGCCCATTCAGGATTATGTGAGCGTGTGTGTGTGTGTGTGTGTGTGTGTGTGTGTGTGTGTGTGTGTGTGTGTGTGTGTGTGTGTGTGTGTGTGTGTGTGTGTGTGTGTGTGGATCAGGAAGTGTGCTCAGTAGCGCAGCAATGTCTCTCTGAGGTGTGATGCTGCTCAAAACTCGCTGTTGCTATTTTTAGCCTTTGTCCTCCTCCTCCTGCTCCTCCCTCTCTCCCGTATGTCTCTCTCCCTCTTTCTCTCTCTTGGTTGCTAGGAGGCTGGCTGATGGGACGGTCTCCTGTAGGGACCAAAAAGGTGAATCAACTAACAAAATGGTGGAATGGAAAGAGGGATAGACAGAAGCTATATTTGCCTGTATTGAACCCTTTAGCACACAGTTTTCCCATTTTGTTATGCAAGCGTTCTTTTTTTATTTACAAAAAGCAAAAAAAGGAACAAATTCATCTGGGCCCATAAAATAGGTCAACATAACCGAACTAAACTGAAGAGGCCTGAACAGCACAAACTGAGATGTGGGGGAAATGTATAGTGGCTGACCAGGCCACCATTCAGACACAAAAAAAAAAGAAAACATGACAGTATAGTGCTACCTAATATTAACTAAGGCAAAGTAATGAAAACACAATATCAAAAACATAACTGTGAAAGAAAACACTGCCCCCCAAGATGCAGGACCGGCTGATTGTACCAATAACATGTCAACATTAATGTTGCAGTTTTATTGCACAGATTCTTTATCAGCAAATGAAACCACTAATTACAGAAATAGTCTTGAATTCAAAATTTTTAAGTTGTTTTTATTTATTACATCTTTAAATGAGGAAAAAAAAGATGTCTCTAATTAAGAGTAAGACAGGGATGTTTGACCTCAGATATCTTGGCATGTGAGGTTGTGACCTGTCGCTTGGTTATTATGCTGGTTGTTGGTTGTGATTTAGCTTGTGATTTTAATTCAACACAGACATACTCTGTCTCTCTCTCTCTTTGTCTGTCTGTCTCACTTCATGCTTTTCTGTACACAGTAGAGCCCGACAGATAAATGAGCCAATACCAGCCCATTTATCAGCTGATATTCGCTTATCACAGGTATATTCATATCAGTGTATGTGCCAGCCATTATACAGTTCAACAGAGCACTAACATGTTCAGCATTATTATTAAAGTTTTCCCTGTATAGTTCCTTTTTCCTTCATCTTTTTATTTTCTTATTTTTCTGATTTTGGTGGTGTTTTTATCAACTGTGTCCTCTGACCTGCACAGATTTGCTTTTACCTGTCACTCAATTGCCAACCTAAACCACACCGTACACTATCTGACCGCACTGATCACACAGTTTGGTGCTCCTGCAGGGGTGGAGAGAGAAAAGGATTAGAGAAAGAAAGAAAAAACTGGGACAAGCTGGGGGTTTGATGGTGTTCTTTAAATAAAAACAACCACATCCAGTACAGTTCTGTGTTCACAGAGGATAAATAGTTTGTTGATGGCACTCAAGTTAGAGATATCGGAGTATTGGCAGGAACACTTTCTCTTTGATTTCAGGGTTCTCTCTCCATTCTTCTCTTCTTAACTAGTAAGAGACAGGCAGGCGGAGGGAGGGAGGGAGGGAGAGCGGGAGGACGGACATGGGTGTGTGTGACCATGATGTCATGATTCAGATGATCGGTAGTGAAGCAGCAGATCAAATTAACCAGTTCCTCTCCCGTTGTGCCCTTCCACAATGAGGTCTTTCTATCTGGCCTCTCTGAAATCGCCATCAGCAGTTTATATAACGAAGCCATGAAATTGTTGTCAGAAAGATTCCCGCCGCTCATCATCATGTGCTTCAGTTGCCGCAGGCCTCATCAAGAAAGTGTCATTCAGATGTTCCATGGTTATTGGTTCACTGTGTGTGTGTGTTCAGTATTCGCTTGTATTTGAAATAAATGAGTATCAGCAAAGTGAAAATCCTCATTTGTGTTGAGATTATAACACGCTAAGGTTTTAGTGTAAATCCCGCAGTGATTTGATTTGTGGAGGTACGTGCGTGAATGTGGGTTTATTTTTAGTCTTAGTGTCCTGAATGATGCTTTAACAAAGACAAAGGGATGAGGCGTCTTTATATCTGTATATATCATCTGTATATTTTCACAGCTCATTCATTTATATGTCACAAAACTAACCCACATATATGTCAGGTGAAGCGGATAAAACAAACCCCACCAGAATCCGTTCTGTTAAACCTCTTAACGTAATTTTGTCTCATCTGCCTTCTTACGTAATGTCAAATGTGAGAAACAACCTCAGTGTTGTTTGACCACTGACTTATTTCTGCACACACATTCACACACTGCAGGCCCCCATCTGTCTGCGTTTTTAAAGTTCACAGCAAGGTTCTCTCAATCTCGTAACCACTGCGCAGTCGTCCGGCGAACCATTCGAACTAAAGCGCGCGTGTGTGTGTGTGTGTACATGCATCTACGTATTTGAGCTAGATTCCTCAGCCATGTGACTGCCAGTGTTCATCACTGTTTTTCACCACATGTCTGTGATCAGCTGATTGCCTCCAGTCACAAGTCTGTAAGGCCTGAAACAGTTTTATAGTGAACTGTGTGTGTGTGTGTGTGTGTGTGTGTGTGTGTGTGTGTGTGTGTGAATTTTAACTTCTAATCACAACTGCATTCTTCAGTCGTTATGAGCTACTATTTGTTCAATAGTTTGTTCCCACAGTTTTACCGACCATTACGAACCTTGTGCTTATGACTGTAAAATCATAAGAGTCCAGTGTTTTCTCTAAGGTAATCTGGTTTTAGCTATCTGTAGAAAGGGAGTAAACTCTCCAGTGAACTGTCACCCCCCTCTCTTAAAAGAGTCTGAGTTGAACCGACGTGGAGTAAAAAAACTAATTAAGCTGGTTTATTTCACTAGAATACTTTTTCTGATGAGTTTAGAAGTGTGGTATTTTCGAAAAAAAAATGTTTTTATATGGTTTATTTCTAATGCTGTCAGCATACGTCATCACCATTTAAAGAATGGCATTAAAGTCCTGAAAAAGGTTTTGGATGGTAATGTGAAATAACATCATCCCTGGCTCCTGCTATGACATGTCTTAATCTAACTTTTCCTCCTGTTTTCCTATCTCTCAGTGTGCTCGGGTGTGGATCCCCGATGCAGAGGAGGTGTGGAAGTCTGCTGAGCTGACGAAGGACTACAAAAATGGCGACGCTTCCCTGCAGCTCATGTTGGAGGATGGAACGGTGAGGATGAATGGAAGAATAATGTAGAGAGGAATCAGTATCTTTGTTTTTTCTCTCCTCAGCTCTTTTGGTTGCATTCTCTGTCTCTCTGCCTCAAAGACACTTCAAAGTGCTGGCTCTCATTAGCGGCTATTGGTTTTACCATTAGCACTCTCCACAAATGAGACCAGCTTGCAAAGATGCCCCAAGGAGCATTTTAAATGTATAGCAGTAAATTGAATCCCTCAGCTTTGAATACAAACAGCCACCAGCACACAGTCCTTATACCAATCACTAATAAGCAGCACTCTTGTTAATGAATGTAGGCTGCTGGCAAAACCATTTGCCATATTGCTCATAATGTTTTATTATTCATATGATCATACTATCATCACTATCAAGGGGGTTACTGTATGTGTTTGGTTCTGGCTGTTTAATGTCTCCAAACATCTTCAACAGTTTTCAGTGAAATATGGCTGAAAGTTAGGCTGAGCTGAGGACAAAGTGACAGATATTTGGTACCAATCCAGGCCAGGTGGATGTCAAGGTTTTTTATTTTTATTGTCAAGGTTATTTGTGTTGCTACATATCATACATCATGTCTCAGTGAGCTTTACAGATACTGAACCAGATCCATATGCAGATTAAAATTATAAATATTTTCTATTAATAAAAATACACATTTAGATGATCATCCTTGATGGAGTTGTGCTTTCTTTAAGTGCTGAGCACTATTCGTTTATAGATAGTTGCTGCTGAACATTATCAAGATAAAACAATTAATTATTCAGTCAAGCAATCAGACGAGCAAATGCATTCCTGATGTTGTTGCTAAAATACTTCCTCTAACAGAATGAAAAGAAAGAGATCCATTTGATAGGGATGTATAAAATGTGAAATGTGAGGATGAAACCATACAAGCTGAAGTTCTAACACAAAACCGAAAACAAAATTAATACAGTACAGTACAGCTTTGAACCACTGCTGGTTTTGCTCCAGAGCCACGGCAAATCAGTAGCCTGTCTCATGACATTTCTGAGAACGTATGAAATTATGTATAAATACTTTTAGTTGGGAGTGGACTGTTATTGATTATTTAAACGATTGGCTCTGTACTGTTAGTCAACTTCAGACAGCCAGACCTGAAAAACTCGTAACCAAACACATAAAGGAGCATACAGATGTCCTTCAGGAGAAATGCCTCACTGGATTTTATTGCAGGATTGATTTAACCTGATGTTTGGGGAGAAAACCTTTTCACTTTTGGCTTTTAGCAATGAAATGTCATGTTTCTCTCTCATCATTTGGTGAGTATAAACAGAATGTAATCTGTAGTAAGGATGATTGATGAGAAAATCAATTCTAGTTGTAGTTTGGCCTCAAAAAGTACTTGCATCTTATCGGCTGGCAGGTATTGGTAAAAGTCATTAATCAGACTCAGGCTCAAACATATTGTAATCTCAGCCATTGGACTGAGTTAGTTTAATATGATGTGTGGTACAGATCATATATCATTGCTGCTGGATAAAGGTGTCGTCTTAATATGTACAATGTCAATGAATTAGTAGTAGGGTAACACAGGTTGGGGTCAGATTTGCACCGTCCCAAGTGTATGAATTCTGCATTGCTTAAGTGCGTTCTATCTCAACACTCCTGTTTCATCTTCAGAGCATCGAACACACACTGGACCCCAAGACGAAGAACCTGCCTTACCTGCGAAACCCCGACATCCTTGTGGGCGAAAATGACCTTACGGCACTCAGCTACCTCCATGAGCCGGCCGTGCTCCACAATCTCAAAGTCCGCTTCGTCGACTCCAAACTCATCTACACTTATTGCGGTAGGTGGCACTTCACATGTCTAATGAAGCCCGACTTTATGTTGTTAGTGCTTTGGACTTATTATGGCATCCTCAGGGAGACAATCTGTACAGCGTACAATACCCTCTGTCCATAGACCCTCGAAAATGACATGATTTGTTTAGTTTCAGAGTGGATGGTTTTATAGTTTATTAGTTAAGCACTGCCTTGATGTCTGACTTGACTGTCTGTGATGTTCAATAACCTCCATTGTATTTTTACTGAAAGTCAAGCATTGTTTATTTTCTCAATTCAACATTGGAAATGCTGAAAGCTATGCCTATCAACTGTGTTTACACTCATTTATAAAACTTATCCCTCATTAGCTGTAAACTATAGTAATATTCACTTCTGTTGTACAGTTAAGTGTTGTTTGCTTCATTCTAGAGCATAAATGCACACACTGCATGAGATGTGTTTGGTTTTTCATTCAGTCAAATAGTCACTTTGTCCTTCCATTCACCTCTTGTGCTGTATTTTAAAGTTTTGTTTTTGCTACAAAAATAAAATATAGCTCATTGTACTTTAGCTATATGCACATATGAATATGCACATTTCTGCAGTCCTGCAACATCCCTCTGCAGTTAATCTTCTCAACGATTGAAGTTATTGGGAACAATGTGGGCTTCAGGATCTTTTTTTCTCCTCTGCTTGCACTGCTGTGTTCTCATACACAAGCATCTTCAGTTTTGATAAGGAGCAGATGATATAAAACAATATGCAGTGTATACTCTACCTTTTCAGTTTGGAAAGAAGCATCCCACTGTCACCTGTGTGATATACTCCAGTTCAGCTGCTGGTGGGCTCATACTTTCCCTTTGTTTTCTGTGTTGTAGGAATCGTTCTGGTGGCCATCAACCCGTATGAGACACTGCCGATCTACGGAACAGACATCATCAATGCCTACAGTGGTCAAAATATGGGAGACATGGACCCACACATCTTTGCCGTAGCAGAGGAGGCTTACAAACAGATGGCCAGGTTTGTGTGTGATACCTGAGTAGCCTTGGTTCTAGTCTCCATGTTGCTCAGCCCTCCCTCTCTCTTCTGGGTTTGTAGGTCAAAGCTGAACCAGGAATAGTCTCATGGTGGTCTCACCGTCTCTCTCTCTCTGTCTCTCTCTCTCTGTGTCTCTCTGTCTCTCTCTCTCTCTCTCTCTCTCTCTCTCTCTCGCTCTCTGTCTTGCCCTTTAAATCTCACACACACACACACACACACACACACACACACACTGCTTTTCTCTGCAGGAGCCAACCAGTAGATCTCTTTGGTCCCCCCCCTCTGGGACACTAACATACACATGTGTACTAACAGTGCTGTATACCAAGTTTAATCAGCACTCAGATCTACCTCCCTCCTTCTTTCACACAGGGCAGTGACCCTTCAGTGTGTCCAGGGTGACATATAGTAGCACGCCTGGCATACTCCATGTGGGAGAGCAGTGTAGGTACATGCAGTGTAATCTTACAGTTTGATAGTAAACGATGATACGCTGTATGTGTATAGCACTTTGATTAATAAAGTGTTTTATAGCAACAAATAAAAAGCAATGCAAATAACGATAAATTAATTAATTTATTGCCGTATATAATCATTTATTGCCGTATATATTTATTCTGTTAATACTGTTCATAATGTAAATATCCTGCCAGTATATTCCTTCATATATCTATAATGTTATTATTACTTTTTCTTTACATATTTCTGTACATTTGTAAATTACTTTGCACTTCTGGTTGATGCTAACTGCATTTCGTTGTTTTGTACCTGTATTTACAGTGACAATAAAGTTGAATCAAATCAATGATGTAATCAAACACAGCAGATTAAAAGACAATTGAAATTCAAATAAGAAAATACAATTGCACTGATGGACGATTAAAAAAGTATTTATAATTGCTTCTTTCATAAAAAGTATATAGTAAAAGCACCTAAGGAGTCAGTAAAACAATGATATATATATATTTGAGCAAGGTAACATTTAGTGCTTTAAAAGTAATTATTAGAAACACTAGTTAAGTTTGTAAAGCTCGGTTTGACAGTCTGTGTCTCAATAGGCTTCACATGTCCACAACACTGGTTGCAGACACTGCCAGAGGTCTCTAGTATACAAGGAAAACCTCCCCAAAACTCAAAAAACAAAAAAATAAAAGATGTCCTGAGAGGTGAAATTCAAGCAAGGAGCTTCTCAAAGAGCTAGGAATGGGATAGGAGAAGGAGAAATACCAATTTGTGAGAGAAGACATTATCGCAACAGAGCTACCAGCAGCATGGAGTTTACTCAAAAGAAAGGTGGCACAAGAGAAGGGGAGGCAGCATGGCTTCCAGATTTTATTTCAGTTCTTGGGATAACGAGGAGGGCTTGCTGGGATTATAAAGCATTAAAGGAACATAGAGGCTTATAAAGGTGTGTTCACACCTGCTCTGCCTGCAGGCATTGGAAATGTTTGTTGATGAAAGCATCTGACACTTTCTATCTGCCCTAGACCCAACACTCCAATTATTAGACATCAGAGTCAAGCATGGCCCTTAACCTTATCTTCATCATCACTGACTAAACTAGAAGCAGGATTCTACCAAAAGCTTGTGCCAGTCAGAACTAGTCCATAGGTCCTCAACCCTGTCTGTCTTATGGTCAAATTGGGATTCACAAGTACACTTAACACGTACAGATATGTACAGTACAGTTTTCTTATGTTGTTTTTGTTCCATCTGTCAGGGATGAGAGGAACCAGTCGATCATTGTGAGTGGGGAGTCCGGAGCAGGAAAGACGGTATCAGCCAAATACGCCATGAGATACTTTGCTACGGTCAGCGGCTCCGCCAGCGAGGCTAACGTAGAGGAGAAAGTCTTGGCTTCCAACCCGATCATGGAGGTAAGCTCTGGAGGCTGTCTGTTGAGAAAGACCTTGTAGTGTCCTTCTTCGAAAAATATAAAAGGACAAAAATGTTTTATGCTTTTTGTGAGTTTTTTAATAACTAAATACATATATGCATCAACATGTAGATTTACTGATTTCACTTGATGCAACTTTGTGAAACCTGTGTACTCACTGGTCAAAACATTTAGATGAAATGTGTTGTGGGTGTGAAAAATTTCTCTTCAAAGTGAAAGTCTTGCATCATTTTTCCTGGCAGCTCGTGTATAGATGCTTGTTTCTTTGGCCCAGTCGCTGTACAGTGTATTCCTAAGCTGAATGATATGGGCTGAATGTCATGTCGTTTGTCCTTCTCTCCTCTTATCTCACTCTGTTGCTTTCTTCTCCACTGGCATTTACTTACTCCCTTCAGTTTCTCTCCCCCACACTGCCTTTCTGGCCTCAAGCTGCTCTCCGCTGTGATAACACAGGTTCTTCTCCTTAACTGTGTGTGTGTGTCTCATTATGTCGTATTTCTTCCTGTAGAGTCATAAGGACAGAAGGAGTTGGAAAGCTCTCCTGTGCCCATATGCCACTACCTCCTCCTCCTCCTCCTCCTCCTCCTCCTCCTCCTCCTGCCATCCCCCACCCTGTCCGTCCTTTCCAACCACTCTGCTAACATCGCTCTCGTCCTCCCAGCCACCACTTTCACCTCGAGCCAATCAGGGACGAGCTGACAGAATGAATAGAAAGCTTTCTTTCGTCGCAGTGATGTCACTTCAGCCTCTAAGCCTGGACGCAGAGTAGATGGTTGCGTCAGCCTTTTCAATGTTACAAAACCTGTGTGTGTTCGTAAGAGAGGTAGAGTGTGTGTTGTGTTTATATGTGTTAGGCTGATGCAGGCACAGATTGGAATACCTGCTGAAAGAGTCCTTGTCTGCAGTGAAAGACTGCGTGTTTGGCCTTAACTCAGCAAGAACCCCCTGTGCTCACACACGATTTAACTCAGCTCAGGCTGGCGGATTGTGTAGCTGGTGTGTCTGAGTGTGTCTGTATGTAGCCCCACCCGTCTACTAAATATTCCTAGTAGGGTCATTGATCAATCCTGCATATTGAACTACGGCTGCTGACTGCAGATGGTTTGTTTGTCGATGTATAGTTACTCAGCAGGAAAAGCCCATCAACATATCCAACTCCTGTCTGTGGAAGAACAGAAGTCCATTAAAACAGTACTGATTTGTCAAGTGTGGACCAACCACAAATAATCTTAAGCTTATTTCATGTTGTAAGACACAATACGAGAAGTTCTGGCGTACTAGTTGTAGAATCAGGTTGTAGTATTTTGAACTGAATTATATTTTGCATTGCTGTCACAGCAAACTTGTAGACATTTGGGAATGTGTGTGTGTGTGGGTGTGGGGGGGGGGTCATATTTATTTATAAAAGTTGGCGGGAGGGGGGTTAATTGTTTTAAATTGTTTTAATGCTGTGGGAATCTGTGTATTCATAACTTTATTTATTAACTGTTTATTGTATGTTCCATTTACCTGCCCAGGAACTACGGGGTGGAAAATAGCAATTTGCTAAAATCCGGTGTAATGCATCTCTCTTTGTTATATACAGGGTTAATGTTTTATTGTGCACTGTCCCTGTTCAAATAAAAGAAATAATAATAATAACGTTGCAGTTTTAGAGGGGTTATAACTGGACTGTTTCTTGGCCTTGAGCAGTGACTTCCTGGGAAGGAAAAGACTCCAGCAAGTTACTGCTCCTGGCCAAAAAATAGTACAGGTTTTGTTTACCATTGCACAGAATCAGACTAGCCGTTTCCCCCCTGTTTCCAGACTTTGTGCAAAGGTAACCAGCTGCATGCGTTAGCTTAATATTTACTGCACGGACATGAGAGTGGTTTCAATCTGCAGCTCTAACTCTTGGCAAGAAAGTGAATAAGTGTATTTCCCAAAATGCTCAGGAGTCATATTAGCCCAGAGCTTCACCATAATAGCAATAACGACTGCATTTCACTCTGCAGTTGTGGTTTGTGCCCAGTAGATTTGAAGCCAAATGTCATTTAAATGAAAATGTGCTGCTGCACCATCTGCTCTATCTAAATTCACCACAATATGTTGCATCTGTTTTTTCCTTTTGTTTTTCAGGCCATTGGAAATGCAAAGACCACTCGAAATGACAACAGCAGTCGCTTTGGGAAATACATTGAGATTGGCTTCGACACCCGCTTCCGTATCATCGGCGCCAACATGAGAACATATCTGCTGGAGAAATCACGAGTGGTGTTTCAGGTGAGCGCACAATCGCACATTCAAGTTCACACTCACACAAGGTGTTTTGTTGGACTTGTGTGGATATTTAATTGACTTGTACTCATTACAGTCTATTACCCCTGCCCCAGTCATCACAGATACATGCACAAAGTTAACCTTTATACACTTCTACATTTTATTCTGTACTGGACTTAAGCTTGGGTTCATTACTAATTACTTCTGTGGAGTTGTCAGTCTTTTCAAAGCACAGCCTAAAGTCACACTGACATTGTTCTGTCCTTCAGTCATATTACCTGGTTCCTGATAGCAAATTTCATTCCTGCTGAAGTGTCCTTGTTCCTGAACGTGTTGTTCATGAATACACAGTCCTTTTGCTGACCTTACAGGCAAAAGAGAATTAATTTAAGTATCGTCTGTGATTTGTTATTCCTTGACATTCCTTGACATTGGAGGTGTTTTTGCTGTATGAGTCAGCACTAATGTATTTACACCATGTACTACAGCGATAATCTGGGATGGAAGGAGAACATCCAGGAGTTTGTTGGCTGGCATCAAAATGAGTGTATGGTGGCCAAAATCTATAAGTTATATTAGCTTACTGTCTGTTATGTTATATTTCCCTTTTGGACTCTTATTTGTTTGCTTTCAGACATTGTAATAAAATGGCCTTTTAAGTTATGGTAGAATTACATTTGTACTATGCATTTTGGTGTTATGTGGCTTCAACAGTCCACCTCTTCAATTGAAACCTCAAATTCCAGTAGTCTTACACATGACACTCTCTAGTTTTGCCGAACACACAACGCGCATACAAACCGCTAATAGTTTGCCTCATGTCAGATTGTAAGGGATTAAACTTGGCTGGAGAACAAGCAGGCCAAATGCAGGGAAAAAAAATGTTATTTCTCTGAATAATGAGTGAGACGTCTCATGATGGGATAGTTATTGTTAATCAGAATCAGAATCAGAATCAGAAATACTTTAATAATCCCTGTGGGGAAATTACTTGTAGGGGGGAGGAAATGTCCCACCTCTCAGCTACCATGTCACCAATTGTAGGGGGGATACATACTACGGCCAAGTAATTAAGACATATAGTATATAAGTGCAACATTCATGTCTCTGTCGCTAATATCACTATCAAATACATGCAAAAATACTTTAAATTTTTTTACTTTCTTTAGATTCTTGAGGATATTTTCCTTCTCATTCAAAAGTCCCAGATGTTTCACAACCCTACAGACCCTTTCTTTTTTTAACCTGCATTACAACAATAATGCTAAATCAGTCCACAACCTGTAAAACGCTCTCACTTTTGAGTATTTCCAGTTCTCTTGCTATGCTTGAAGTCCTCACAAGTATGGAGAAGTGCAGTCAGCCAGACACAAACAAACACACAAACGCACGCACACACACACGCACGCACACACACGCACACACACACACACACACACACACACACACACACACACACACACACACACACACACACACACACACACACACACACACACACACACACAAACTCCACCAGCACTAACTGTCAGTCTGGCCCTGGTGTCCTTTAGAGCAGAAGAGGTATGCGGCAATAACTTCCTTCTTCACAAAGACAAGGAGGAAACAAAGTAAACCCCAAACCCAGCAAACAATCCATCTGTCACACTGGGTTACAGAGAGGCACTCCTTTCCTCTTCCACCTCTTTCTCTCTCTCTTTTACATTCTTCCTTAAGTAACAATCTTTTTCTAATCTCTCTTTTTACTATACTTTTCTCTCTCTTTACAGCCCCCACAAAATCTCAAAGAAGCCAAATCAGTCCACACGTTTAACACATTTTTTATGATCTATTAACTTTATATTTTCTGGTGTGTCCAAGTCAAATCCAGATAAGATGTACCTACTATTTCTCTTTTATAACTTCATTGTATATTCAGCGGGTGTATTTGCTCACTGGTGGAGCCAGTAGGGCAGCGTCTAGATAAAGAACAAGAATACTTAAGTCTGCACACAAGTGCACACACACTAGTACGCACACACAGACACACACACACACACACACACACACGCACACACACACTGCTGTCGTAGACAATGTTGGGGAATGAGGATGTTGGTGTAAAATCGTGATCACTTTCCTCCTCACATTTTTCACATACTTGGATCCAGTAACGCCCTTTTATAGGGGTGTGTGTGTGTGTGTGTGTGTGTGTGTGTGTGTGTGTGTGAGTGAGTTAGTGTGTGAATACTGTGTTTGGGTGTAGTAGCACCAAGGTAGGACACAGGTAATAGTTTTGTTTCTAGCCTTACTGCACACTGCTGACATCCTTTTAACATTTGACTTTCACTGGAGATAAATCAGTTGCTCCAGTTGAAGCACTTCTGTCTATATGCAGTCATTGGTCAGTTGTGTTATTTATATCCACACTGTATCAGATAGGACCTCAACATGGGTATGGGAATATTGGTTGTGTTGTGAGTGTTGGGAATAAACTTGTAATATTCTCATCTGAATAGATAATATAACATATAGCACATATGATTGTACATTTATGACAGATTCAGAAAGGGACTGAGTATGTGTAGATCAATACCATTCATGTGATGTATCCGAATAAACTAAACATGCTATAGGTGTAGCCTCACATCATATGATCTTCATGCTTTCTTCCAGGCTGACGAGGAAAGGAATTATCATATCTTCTATCAGCTCTGTGCTTCATCCCATCTGCCTGAGTTCAAGAATCTGAAGCTGAGTAAGTCTCATGCACGTGTGTGTGTGTGTGTGTGTGTCCGCACACAGAGCTGCACAGTTCGCTTTAACTCTACATTTGCACTATAAGCAATTAACAAAAACAGTAGCTTTAAATCTGCTCTCTTTCAAGCAACAGAAGGAGCCACTGGTCATTTTCATGTTTTTCAGAGTGATGAAATGGGCTGCAGCATCCAGACACACATTAATATTGTCTGGGCTTAAGCACTTGGCAAATACGTTATACAGCAAAAATAAGCAATGAATACAGACTCACTGATTATAAGAGCAAACCGAAAACACTGAAAATACACACTAGAATCCATATATCAAAAACATTTCACCCCTCCACATCTCTAAAAATGAGGTGACTGAAGAGCAGAGATCAGATTTAATATCAGTTAAGACATATCACACTCATTGACACTGTGGTTGAACAGGCTCTCTTACAGAGCGCTCCCACTGTGGACCTGCACCTGCTCATCCTAGTCATGTGACACACACACACACACACACACACACACACACACACACACTGCTGGCACTGTCACTTACAGCCACTCTGTTAGCTCTCTCTCGCTCTTGCTCTCGCTCTCACGCACACACACACACACACAGCTGCTGTCTTTTCCTATCCTGCTGACTTCCTGGCTCAGTAAATGGAGCGGTTGTCACGGTCGTGTCAGTGCCTCTCGTTGCCAGGCAACAGACCATGCCTTAATTCAATGTAAAGTGTGTGTGTATAAAGAAACTGATTGTGGGAAAGTTGAGCTAACATCATTCTTACACAGAAGTGCTCTTGATTTCTGTCTTTTCTAAGAACCCTGAACCATCTGCAAAAACCATAATGGTCTCTGTCTGTCTGTCTGTCTGTCTGTCTGTCTGTCTGTCTGTCTGTCTGTCTGTCTGTCTGTCTGAGACTGTTCCCAGAATTCATTCATTCACTTTGAGAGAGTGAGGGTTTGAGAACATTTCTCATCCAGTGTTAATAAAGAACATTTCCACCCACATTTAAAATTGAATTAACCCACTGTAAAACTTATTCCCTGTATCTTCTGGGAAACATTGCAGTGTTTTATTCTCTTTAATCCATGACCACTAAGAAAAAGCACTTAGAAAAACCTCAGATCTGACTCTGAACTTCTCGCTATTTGTGTACACTTGGTTTAATACTTGCTGTAAGAAAAAAACAGGACTGTTGCTATGGTTAATTGAAAAGCTACCCTGAGCACTGACCTGAAAATTATTCAACCTTTTTCAACCTTAAGTGTTATGATAATAATTATGATTTTAACAGGCAGTCCCTCCTCACTAATCAGAAAAAAATAGTTTCTTTGTTTCTTAAATCATGTACATGTTTTTTTTTTTTACTGATGCAGCTCTCCTTAGGGAGAGTAGAATGCATTGATAGCACAGTTGTACCCAAGTTGCACATTGTAAAACTGCACATACAGCATGTTTACCAAATTAATTCACCTTCTCTGTTCCTCCACTCAGGCAGCGCGAACGACTTCTTGTACACCAGGCAGGGCCGCAGCCCCGTTATCGGCGGGGTGGACGACACCAAAGAGCTTAGCACCACTCGCAATGCCTTCACATTGCTCGGTAACATACCCACCTACACACATAAAAACAAACACGTTCAAATCTGTCTGGAAAATGTATACATTATAACCCAGCAGTATAATGTATCTTAAGGAGAACTCATGTGACTGCTGGATTTACAATATTAACTGAATGAAAGTGTTAAATAATCAGGATGAATTTTATGTATATTTTTACAGCTCCTTGAAGATGGGGTTAGTTAAAGGATATGAACAAAGGTTAAGGATGGACAATGTACAGGGTCACAACTTATTAATAACAAGAGGGTCTTTGTTCGTTATGTGTGATTGTGTCTGCTTTTCCTTTGCAGGTATTAATGAGTCCTATCAGATGGGATTGTTCCAGGTTTTGGCTGCTATTCTTCATCTGGGAAATGTGGAGATAAAGGACAGAGACTCGGACAGCAGCGTAATTCCTGTGAGAATAATGTTTATACTGCAGTACTAGTTGTCACAAGACATGTTTAAATGGACTGCATAATATTCACTGCATCACAGTATATCTGTAATTCAAGTTTTGTCCTCCTTTGAGTTGTGTATTTATTTAGGGAGGCAATTCCCTATCTTGTTTTTTCTGTTCTTGTGTTCTCAAACATATGTGTGTCCATTTTGGGGACAAAATGTTTGTCTTTATTTGACTTCAGCTTCCCTACTACGACACATGAATGGTAATGATTACTGTTTATTCATCATGGAATAAACAGAAAGATGTAAGTAAAACGATGATGAGTCAGTCTCCTCTTCTTCCTTGTAGCCCAACAATCGCCACCTGACGGCATTCTGCGAGTTGGTAGGCGTGACCTACCAGGACATGTCTCAGTGGCTGTGCCACAGGAAGCTGAAGACGGCCACAGAGACGTACGTCAAGCCCCTTCCCCGCCTGCAGGCCACCAACGCCCGCGATGCACTCTCCAAACATATCTACGCCAAGCTCTTCAACTGGATTGTTGAGCACGTTAACAAAGCCCTCATCACCAATGTCAAACAGCACTCCTTCATTGGGGTCCTCGACATCTACGGGTACGTCTGTGTCAGCACACGGCCAGATACTAGCCAATCTGAGCATGTATATGTCATTCATTTGTCTGATTTGTCTGTCATTGCAGTGCACACCATAGTTAAGTACAGTAGTGAAGTAAGTTGCACAGACTATCCCACCGGTGTACCGTGGTCACACATAGGAAAGTCAGTTTTAATTAGATAACTTTAACTGAGCAAGTTAGCTCTGTAGCCAAATGTTATCCAACTGTTTGACTCCAGTTTTTCTCTCTCACAAGGTTTGAGACATTTGAGATCAACAGCTTTGAGCAGTTCTGTATCAACTACGCTAATGAGAAACTCCAGCAGCAGTTCAACATGGTGAGCAGCATGTGTTTCACTTGATGGATTGCACATTATAGTTACAGATGTGAAATAGGATTTTTTTTTTTTTATCGACTGATGCAAGTTTAATCACCCACCTTTGTGTGCAGCATGTGTTCAAGCTGGAGCAAGAGGAGTACATGAAGGAGCAGATCCCGTGGACTCTGATTGACTTCTACGACAACCAGCCCTGCATCAACCTCATAGAAGCCAAGATGGGCATCCTGGACCTGTTGGACGAGGAGTGCAAGGTATCATTTTTATTTAATCCACTAAATAATATTTCAGATAATTAATATTACATTTAGCGTTTCTGGTATTTTACCATGATTGAAAGACACTTCAGGGACAGAGTAAGATTTTACTCATCTGTCACATAAAAAATATATGGACTGATAAGTCTTTTAATCTATCTGTTAACAAGAGTCTGCACTGACTCACAGGCTAAGTTACATAAGACTTGATGACTTCTGAATACTGATGGTGGAATAAAAACGTTCTCATAAATATAAACAAGCAGGTGAAATAAAGTGAGTCCATTCTGCATATTGAGCAGAGGATCGTGGGTTGTAGTTGAACAACCACATTCTGCTTTACATTTATTTTTTGACAGTGGCCCCATCAGTGCCTCCCACCACCACACATTAGAGGCGAGTCTCCAACACCTACACTTATATCTCACATCAGAGTTCACCTGCAGGAAGGAAACATTGACCACAGACATCAAAGATACTCTCTGTTCTTCTTCTTCTTTCTTTCCAGCGAGTGCACACAATAAAACTGAATGGGATTATTTATTTATTGGAAACTGTATATGAAATATTAGTTATAAGTTAAGTTATTTGAGTTAATATTCTGTGTCAACTAATCTCTCTGTGGCTCCTAACCACTGCAAGGTCATTTTACAAGCTGTTTACATTTGAGGTGGTCCACATTTCTAACATTATTGCAGAGTAATGCAAATACAAATTGGACCTTTGGTTTGACATCTTGGAAACGAAAAAAGTCTTCATACACTGTTTAACCAGAAAAAAAGAATCATTTGTAGGGTGTAATGCAAACAATGTTTTCTTGTCTCTAAGTGCATTTAAGCAGATGGTTACACACATGTTTCTTACTGATAGTTTCCACTGTGTCTTCTCCCTTTCTGTACCAGATGCCTAAAGGTTCAGATGATTCATGGGCTCAGAAACTCTACAACACCCACCTAAAGACCAGCTCGCTCTTCGAGAAGCCACGCATGTCCAACCGCGCCTTCATCATCAAACATTTTGCTGACAAGGTGGGTTTGACTGACCTCATGTTTGCTACATGCCTGCATAGTGTTGTAATGTTGTTTCTTATTGAGCTATAAAAGTAATGACATGGCAGGTAGAGGTTTTGTGTTTTATTTTACAAAGTGCCTTTTCAGCTTAATAGACACCAGGGACAGATTGGCTGCAGTGGCTGCTGCAGTGCTGGTGTGAGATATTTTTAGGATGGCTGGAGGACAGATGACTTTTAATTATTGTTGTCATTGTTTTCACACCAAAAAAAAACAGTTAAACACTCAAGTGTTTACGTGTGTGTGTGTGTGTGTGTGTGTGTGTGTGTGTGTGTGTGTGTGTGTGTGTGTGTGTGTGTGTGTGTGTGTGTGTGTGTGTGTGTGTGTGTGTGTGTGTGTGTGTGTGTGTTGGTGTAATCCACTTTAGTGTAATAGGTTTCATATCCTGTAATGAGGTGCTGTGCTATGGTGTGTTATTTTTCATGTCTGTTTTTAGATCCTCAATATAAGGTTACAGATAAACGGGTCAAGGACTAACGCAGGCTTTCCCATGAGGGTCCCCTGATATTAAATGGGATCCTTGGAATCGTTTCTCACCAAACATTTGCAAATATTGATGTTGATGTATTTAAAGAAACTTGCGTCAGGAGTTTGGACTGGACATAATGTCCTGTGAGGTCACTGTCAAACCACCCCAGACTGACTTAAAACGAGAAAGAGATAAAAACATTTACCTTTTAAAAATGTACCCTAAACATTAGTTTGCAGTTATTGTAACACATGCTGTGTTATGTGCTTGTCGAGCAGGTGGAATACCAGTGTGATGGTTTCCTGGAGAAGAACAAGGACACAGTGAATGAAGAACAGATCAACGTGCTGAAGGCCAGCAAGGTGAGGAGCACAAACCCTGACTTACACCTACATTACAGTATATACAGTCAGTCAGCAGAAGATGTATGTGCATTTAAATGCATTCATTTAAAACTTAGCGTAACATAAAGCATCCACTGGCATCAAAGCCAAGAAGACTGCAGCTCATAGAGAGCTGTGCCACCTGGTCTATTGTTTACTGACTATAAGTCCCATCTGAAGGCTCAGGGAAGCAGCGCCCTCCACTGGCCATGTGGAGATAGTGTTCACACCAGCATTGAAGACAAATGCTCCATCTATTCTCCAGATTTATGGTCTGAGAGGTTTAGGTTTTATTTACACATAACACTGTCTTATGAACACACACACACACACACACACACACACACACACACACACACACACACACACACACAGTAAGTTGGGTCATTGCCCAGACATAACCTACAGAGGATGAATGTGATTGTGTTTCATAAATATTTCACTACATATTGCACTTTTTAGCTTGTCCTAGTATATATTTAATGACTTGCAGAAAAACATTAGCCTATTTAGGCTTGTGGTTTTTTTTTATGCAGCATTGTAATAAATGTAGGAATTCATATGACAAATTAACACATCTTTATGCAGCAGAACATTGAACACAAAATAATCTTTTACAGCATCATTTACCGGTTCACCCACCTCACCTTCAAATATTTTCAGTCTTTAAGGGTTGATGTCACTGTTTTTCTAATAACCATTATTTAATTTGGGAACAAAATGCCATTGAACTGGAAAACCGCCCTCACTCGTGCTATTAAGCCTAAATTAGTCAGATCACATCCAAATTAACAACGTGTGTGTGTGGGGGGGGGGTTAGTCAAAAAGGCTCTAAGCTTTTAAATCCTTACTGCCCTTTTGGCTACACACACACACACACACAGACTATAATGTAGTGTGTTTCTCCGAAGTGCTCACAGTGACCTTTGACTGTTCTCTTGTAGACTTCAACAAGAACAGAAATGGGTAAGGGTTGAAATACTGTCTGCTCTAACCTCTAACATGGTCACTTAACACACACACAATCACACACACACACACACACAAACACACAAACAGAGTCATGGATGTAAAGTATGAATGCTGCAATGAAAATCAGTATAACTCAGACAATTAGGATAAAATGGTAATGAGATTTAATCTAATTAAGTTTCGTTTTACTTCTTTGCCAAGCTTATCCCGTCTGTGTGTGTGTGTGTGTGTGTGTGTGTGTGTGTGTGTGTGTGTGTGTGTGTGTGTGTTTTGATTGTTTGCCCATACAGTACCATAGGAAGCACATCTATAAAATCTCAGTTTAACAGTTATAGAAACCAAACCCTGCCTAATTTATTAATCTGGTACCCTCTCTCAACTGTACAAAATTGACTGAAAAATGATTTCTGTAACATCTAGCAGCTAACTGTTTTGCATTGCTGTTGTAACACATTAAAGGAACAGTGTATAGGATTTAGTGGCACCTAGCAGATTGCAACTCCCTCACTTCATTCTCCCTTTCCAAGTGCAAAGGAGAAACTGTGGTGGCTGTGGTGAAACTTAAGCACCCATCTACAGCCGGCAGGAATCTGTAGATTAAAACGGCTCATTCTAAGGCAACACAACGATTCTTCTTTTCAGGTTATGATACACTAATGAAAACATACCTATATATATTATATTCCATTTCTGCTAGTGTTACACACTGGACCTTTTAACATGCAAAATACAAAATGCGAAGGTAGAATATCCTTACTATGAGGCATGGAGGCAGGTCAGGTTTTTTTTCCCCTGTAGATGAACAGAGAAAAGCCTGTCTGGAGGCTGCACCCCTCTTCACAAATGCACCTTGACAAACTTCATATACACAGATACACTGTAATGCAGGACTGCAGGCCCGTGTTGCTGTTGGGCCTTCAAGTGTCAACAAAGTTGAAGGAAAATTGTGGTTTATCACAACTTGGGTCTTATTTTTATAGTATTGGCTGTTAACTGGGAACACACAGTGAACTACTGTATAATGAAGAAGAATGCAAGAAACACAGTCAGACGATCATAGAAGTTAGCTAAATTATATAAATCACTTTAGTTATATGAAACCTGAAGAAATTGCAAATAATAAATTATTATATAATACATTGTGCAGGAAACCTTTTGCATGCATGACTACAAAAAGTACAATGAACCAGGTAGTCAGTGTAAACTATGATGAATGTTTGCATTTTACAGCAACTGCCTGTCCACTCATGTGTCCCATTGGATTAAAGCAACTGGCCAAAAACTATGAAAAGAACACTCAGGTTGTATGAAACAATATTCCAGCGTTATAATGGCTCCACTGTACCTGCATTGCTCAGAACTGCATTGGGACCTGAGAGACAACCAGGAGTCTCACATTCGTGCCGACGTCTGCTTGCAAATCTAATCAATACAGTGCACTCAAGAAATGTCTGATGCAGAGATTTCCCATGATGCATTGCAACCTAGGAATGTGATCAAAATAACAACAGATAAAATTCCACCGTGTGGCCGTCTCCCAACCAGAGACATCCAACCTTTATACTTCATCCCATTATGTTCCTTCCATCCATTTCAGCGTCATCATCAGTTTTATTTAGTTTTCGGTTTGAATCGTCGATGTGTATTATAGATTTCGATGGGGGTAATGATGATTTTGAATTTTACCTTTGGGTAACCTTTCCTTTTAATGTCATTGTGTTTCTTTTGTCACTGTGTCTCCATATGTTGTCCATGTATGTTTGGTTCTGTCCTCATCATGACAACCCTTCCCTGCCAGCAGAAGGTAAACAGAGGCGTTCTTACAACGCTGATCCGCCTGTAGCTCTTCCTCTCTGTCTCTCTAGCACTGAGTTTTTATCACTCTAACAGCACTGAGAAGATTAAACTTGTGTGTGTGTGTGTGTGTGTGTGTGCCTTTCTTTGCTGCATGGGGAGCACTAAAGGCACTCTGGGAGGAGAAAGGGGCTTGGATATAAAATCGAGGGACAAAGGAAGGAGGGCATTTTTTATGTTTTCAGAGTGATGCTGAGAGCAAACAGCACGTAAGGCCTTTGTGGCTGTGTGGCTGTCCTGCTTAATGACGCTGGCGAGAGAAGCAGCATGGCAACGCTCCGAGCACAGCAGGAGGAACTGAAGCTGCATACATAACACAGCATCCTCCTCATATAACCTCAGTGTTATATGCAACATGACTGATGTGTGTATGCTTTACTAAAGGGCATACATCCTACATGATACTATCTATGTCATAACACCATAAGATACATGTCATATATGGCCATTGCATATTGTCATATATGATAAAACATAACCTTTCATTGTTTTTATTGCCTTTTTTTTGTAACATTGCAACAACTCTCTGATTGCAAATGAATTTAACAAACGCTAATCAACAAATCAAGCGACATCGGCTCACTCATCTACTTAAACTGTCCAGCAGCTTTTCTGCTGCCTTTGACATGAAAACTAATTAATCTCAACATTTTTGCACACTTACTAGACTTGTATGTTGAATCTTATACATGCATCTATAAATGAAGTCATCAACATCATGGTTTTAAACACTCAAGTCAAACTATGGAGGCTCGTGGCAACTGCTAAAATTAAAGCTGTCATTGTGCTTTGTACGGCTGTATGCAATAGGTAAGAGAAATCCATATGCATGCTCTACAGTAAGAAGAGACTGTTAGAAACTAGAATTTTAGCTCATAAATATTCATTGGAGTTGCAGTAAAGCATAATTTAACAATTTATCCGGAGTGAAAGGCTTTGTCATGAACTTAGTTCTCAGTAAATCGATATTGCCTGCAGTGTCTACTGCTGTCATCAGCTGTTCTGTTTGTGACTATAAGTGGACTGCTGTTCCCAGTTTGAGCTGCTGATGGAGCTGTTCCATGATGGGGAGAAAGCTATTAGCCCCACCGGCCAGGTCCAAGGAACCGGGGGCCGGACCCGGCTCAGCATCAAGCCTGACAAGAGCAGAGACAGCAAGAGCAAGGAGCACAAGAAGACTGTCGGCTGTCAGGTTAATATCACTCTCCAGTGTTTTGTTTATGTGGTCTGATGCTGTAACATGACTGCACAGTCACACAGTGTGGATATTTATACATTTAAAGTCAAATGTTAAATCCAGTTCATTTTCCAGAAAATCCTATTAATTGTTCCCTAATCCACTCTAAAGATTAGCACCTCTGTTTTAATTGTTTTAACATTGACTATAATGCTATGGAGAATGAATTGTGACAGTGGCTTAATAGCACAAAAGGTCAGATGATGATGAAGATGATGATGATGATGGTCCTCTCTTGTAGTTCCGTAACTCTCTGCAAATGCTGATGGAGACTTTAAACGCAACCACTCCACACTATGTACGCTGCATCAAACCCAATGACTTCAAGATGGCCTTCACGTGAGTCTTCCTCATGTTTTCAAGTAAACAGTAAAAACAAAACTGTCATTTTCTGGCACAGTGCTATGTGCCTTGTTTTCTCTTTTCTCCATATTCTATACATATATATTCTCTGTTTCCTGACTTTAACCTTGTTGCCAATAATAAACGATGCACTGTGCTCGAAACCACCATCTTAGCTCAGGTGTCATTTACAGTGGCCATATTGACTGTGGTTATTTGTGGTTGGCAGGTTTGATCCCAAACGTGCAGTGCAGCAGCTCAGAGCCTGTGGTGTCCTGGAAACCATCCGCATCTCCGCTGCAGGTTTCCCATCCAGGTACATGCATCCCAGCAACACAGCTACTGATTCCAATACACTTTCTTGTGTTTGATATGTGTAAAAAAAAAAAAAAGTTACTAGAAGGCCTATGTACCTTGCAGTTGAGTCTGCTGTACATACATTATGTCTGAATACATCCTTGTAACAATGCAGCCAGCCAACTGTTGATCTGATATGATGACCTCCTGCACTGGATTTTAGTCTGCTTTACTTACTAGTCTCCTTAATGCATTTTAGATGGATGTTAATGCTGATAACCTTTGAATGTGAGCACAACCTTAAAAAAGCTGCTGCATTTCACAGGAGGAATATACAACATTTTTGAATATCATTTATAGAAGCAGATATCAGAATGAATCTTACAACTTAAATAACCCAAAAATGCATTATTTTGTGGTAGTTTGTATTTGTCCTTGAAGAAAAGTCAAATAGCAAAGCAAACTGTTTAACTCCTTGCAAGAAATGATTGAACAAGCGGTAAAGAATCAAATGTTTAGATCATGACAATCTTGTGTGTGTCTCAGATGGACGTACCAGGAGTTCTTTAGCCGTTACAGAGTGCTGATGAAGCAGAAGGACGTGTTACCTGACAAGAAGTTGACCTGCAAGAACGTTCTGGAGAAACTAGTTCAGGTCAGTCCGACGATCTGAATTTTCACATTTCTTCTTAAAAATGAAGAATTAGGTAGATGGTATGATTGTATTTGCTGATTGCATATACAGTACATTTTGAATGGATTTATGTTTAGTTTTGCATTTTCATTTGAGTTTACTTTTGCGCCTTTCTGTGCAAAAAAAAAAAACAGTAATGAAGGTTCCACACATCTGCTTCTTTGTGTTCTTCTATAAGTATTGTTCTGATCCCTGATCTCTGCTCCCATCCTCCTACAGGACCAGGATAAATACCAGTTTGGTAAGACCAAGATCTTCTTCAGGGCCGGCCAGGTTGCCTACCTTGAGAAGTTGAGGGCGGACAAGTTACGTGCTGCCTGCATTCGCATCCAGAAAACCATCCGCTGCTGGCTGGCGCGTAAAAAGTATCTGCGCAAGCGCAGTGCGGCCATCACCATCCAGAGGTTCACCAGAGGATACCAGGCTCGCTGGTCAGTTGAACCTGATACTCACCTCCCTTCGTCCATTCAAACAGAACAGTGTCATGCACACCATCCTTTAAACCAACTATGTTATAAGGCACTTCTGGGTGAAACTATTTACTGTAGTTTGAGTACTGCTGCAGTTGAATTCACAATCAACATTCATTTAAGAAGTTAGTTAAATATTTGTTAGTTGAGACGTGTGTATCTTGGCTCTCCTCAGCCTGGCCAAGTTCATGCGTCGCACTCAGGCCGCCACCGTCATCCAGAAGTATCGGAGGATGTACGTGGAGAAGAAACGCTACAGGCAGAAGCAGGCTGCTGCCCTGGCTATGCAGACCATCCTCAGAGCTTACATGGCCCGGCAGAAGTACCAGGCGGTAAGACACACATCACAAAACACTGCAAAATATATTCATCCTCATTCATCCAGTCCTTCTTTTATTATTATTATCTCACTTCCACAAAATACCTGTAACAAGAGAAAACTTAACCTAGAACAAGTGCAAATGTTCTAGAAATATCCACATGCGCTCTTATTTCTCTCTGCCTCTCGTTCACTGTGTCTGTAGCTGCTGCGGGAGCACAAGGCGGTGATAATTCAGAGGCACGTTCGCGGCTGGTTGGCTCGCTGCTGGTACAAGCGCTGCCTCGTCTCCATCGTCGTCCTGCAGTGCTGCATCCGCAGGATGAGGGCCAGACGCGAGTTAAAGAAGCTGAAGATCGAGGCTCGCTCAGTAGAGCACTTCAAGAAGCTCAACAAAGGCATGGAGAACAAGATCATGCAGCTGCAGAGGAGAATCGACGAGCAGGTGAGTTGCCCTTTTTTCCCCAAATTTTAGTTTGTATGTTATGGTGTATTGATTGGTCATTTTTGTCATGACCTCCCTGTTCTATGATCCATCTCACTCCTCCAGAGCAAGGAAAACCGGTCTGTCAACGAGAAGCTAGTTGGTCTAGAGAATTCCTACACAGCAGAAAGCGAGCGGATGCGTGGCGAGTTGAACCGGCTACGTGGCGTGGAGGAAGAGGCCAAGAAGAAAACCAACCAGGTGACCTCACTGCTGGAGGAGCTGGAGAAGCTGAGGAAGGAGTTGAGTGCCACACAGCAGGAGAAGAAGACCATAGAGGACTGGGCACAAACCTACAGGAACGAAATGGAGAAGGTAAGACGGGGATCCAGTCCATTACCTGCAGTTGTCCTCCATCTCCCTGTGCCCAGTGTATGTACAGTAGTTATATGTCCCTCTGTCTGTCTCCTGTTCTACAGTATGTGTGTTTTCTCTTCTTCCCCTTTTTGCCTGTAGATTGGAGATATTTCCGTAGATGTTGGTTATGTACTAACATCTATGTAACCTTGAACCTTTTTCTAGTGAATTTGGAGGTTTTGAAGGAATAGTCTTCCTACTTTTTGCAGTGCTAGAATTAAAAAAACAACTGGCTTGTATTTACTCTCCTTAAAACCTCCTCTGACCCCAGCCCCCCCCAGTTTTCCTTTTATAGTGAGGCTGTCAAAGTCCTGTTATTAGTTTAAAACTTTAAAAAAAAGTTCAGTAGAAAAAGCTCCAAATGATTACAATCTCCCATAGTTTCCTGGAAATATATATATATATATCACAAAATAATTTTCTTTGCATAAATATGCATATTGGCACCAGAGGAAAACAGTTTTTCCCCAATTCAGGAGCCAGAGCGAACCAGGGGGAAATGGGCACATGGTGGGCTCAGAGGGCAGTGTTGCCCTGGGGCAGGTGAGCGCAGGAGATATAATAGAGTGCTAGTGAGGTAGCTACTGAACTGTGTGTGTACTCTGTGGTTTCTATTTCTAATTGTGTGTGTTTTTGTCTAGTGTTTCGTCTTCTTTTTGATGGTTTTCTAAATGACGAGAACTTATTTTGAGCATATTTTGATAATTATGGGATTAAATGTGTTAGATGACAGAAAATAAATGGATCAGTGTAAATAAACATTTATTCACATTCATGATGCTGACAGTCAGCAGCTTTACACAAGCCGTGATTTAGGTATCATTTGTGTTTGCAGATGGTCTCAGAGCTGAAGGAGCAGAATGGCTCGCTGAAGAAAGACAAGGACGACTTGAACAGGATGATTCAGGAACAGAGTCAGCAGATGACAGGTATGCAAACATCACTACATAAATTAAACTGACTTACTGTCTGCAACACATTTATATAGTCATGCAGACACATGCAATTTTCTCCTAAACCATGCAATGTGTGTCTTTATTTTAACTGCTGCTTCTTTATGTTCTTTCCCCATCAGAGAAAATGGTGCGTTCGATTGCACAGGAGACTCAGCAGTTGGAGACAGATCTGAACGAGGAGCGATCTCGCTACCAGAATCTCCTGACCGAACACCTTCGCCTCGAAGAGAAATACGACGACTTGAAGGAAGCGATGGTTTCATCGGTGAGGAACTCATGCACACACACCCAGTCAATAATACTTATGAAATGTTTAATGTATTTATGAGCATAATTGAACTGTTTATCGCTTCTCATCCTTTTCTGAAAACACGAACACAAAACATTTATTTTTTCCATTATTCAGTATTTCTCTAGCAGAAAGCAGATGGGAAGTAACATTGGTAACATTAAACACTGAGATGCACTTACAGTCTGAAGGCGCAGCAGGGAAATTAAAAGGCTTATTTTCTCTCTTGTCTGCAGAACGTCTCCAAGCCTGGCCACAGGAGAACAGATTCTACCCACAGCAGCAACGAATCAGAGTACACCTACAACTCAGAGTACGCCGAATTGGAAGAAGGTTCCCGTGCTGCCGAAGTAAGAATGTTGGCATTGAGTACATTCACATTTAATAAGAGGACAAATCCAGAGATATGGTTTCTACTGTTAAAAAATGATTGCTGACGTTAAACGTCTTTGTCATACAGGATGTTACACGAGGAATGGACACCTCGCTGACCCTCAAGCTGCAAAAACGTCTCACAGAACTGGAGCAAGAAAAGCAATCGCTGCGCAACGAGCTGGAAAACAAAGAGGACCAGTTCCAGCGGGCTAGAGCCAGGGTACTGACACTAACACTGGGCTCTGAAATATATCGCTTCATTAAGAAATGATATGTATATATGTTATAAGCCTCGTTTTGCTTTGTTGAGGATTGAAAATAGACAGTAATACTAGGATAGTACAGCATGAAGAGCTTTTGAATACAATAATATACACATGTAACCATGTAACAACCCAGCAAAAGTACAAACAACTTGTATTGCATTAATGACTCTTTAAATATAATAAGAAGCTTTTCATTATTATGTACAGAATTTAAGTGCTTCATTAGTTTATACAGTTATTAAATAGGAAAACAGATTTCTTCAGATATAATTAGATTAAAGCTAAAAAAAAAAAATGTTTCTTATCAAACAGTGTTCTGTGTTTCAGCCATGTTTCATTTCAGTCAGACTGTATTGCATCATGTATTATAAACTTTGTCCCGGTCACAAACACCCCTTCATCACCATGTTTTGCTTCTTGTTTCAGGATGACGCAGAGTTTAAAAAGGCTCGCGGTGCGGAGCTGGAGTACGAGTCCCTGAAGGTACGCAGTCAGAGGGGACTAAATAAGAAATACAACAACACTAGCACATGTTCTCTCACTGTTTTTCAGAGAATGACTTAATCCAAAGCCAGACAACTTGTTTTATTGCAGTAATTAATGCCGGAGCTGCAGAAAGCTTAATTTGCCACTTGTTATGGACAAGTTAACGCTTCACTCTTTCACTTCTCAGCGTCAAGAGTTGGAGTCAGAAAACAAGAAGCTGAAACATAACCTGGCGGAGATGAGGCAAAGCCTGCTGGGTGACGCAGCTGCAGGCGCCGGGGCCCCAGGCTCCCCGGCTTACAAGGTGCTCCTGGAGCAGCTCAACGCCTCCTGTGAGGAGCTGGACGTCCGTAAGGAGGAGGTGCTGATCCTGCGCTCCCAGCTGGTCAGCCAGAAGGAAGCCATGCACCACAAGGTAGAAGAACGTTTTACTTCCTGTGTCTATTTAGCCTGTAATCACCTGCACTGTGGTCACATGGTGGTGCTGTTCTTACAAAATGAAGCTGGATATAAGTGGGTGGCAGCCTGCTCGCTTGTATCCACCTTCTTACATGTGTGTTATGTTTTCACTCATATCTGTTTCTCTGTTTGTCTGTTTGTTCGCACAATATCCCAAAAAGTAACAAAGGGATCAGACTAAAATCTCTCTTGGCCTAAAGATCACTTTTATTACATTTGCTTTTATCCTAATCTCAGACCATTATTTATTTTTTAATATTTAATGAATAACTCTTATGTTCTGTTTGTGAACTCAAAAAAGGACTAAAATCGTTTTCAGCTTTTTAACAGTATTAAAATCAGTTTAATTTGTATCTTAAAGACAAAAATGACATTTGAACTCTGCCAATTGCTCAACTGTAGTTAGTTGTTAATTTTGGATCCAAATCATAATAAAATCACATTATTCCCACTGTATGTAGCTGATGTTTTCACTGTACCCTCAGTGTGTCTAACTCTCCTGTCTCCACCTTCTCTCCTCCATCCATGCTTTCCCACAGGATGAGAAGGTACAGTTAAAAAAAAAACATCATGCATGAGTATTTGACACTTTTTTTCATTGTGTGTCTTGTATGTAAAACCTCCTTACATAAGAAATCTGATCCAGCAGAGTCAATTTTATCTGTCATCTCAGTGATTGTAAGCAGGAGGACAAGTGCAGCTGTTACATCACTGCTGCTATCAGGTTCCAGAGAGTTTAATATAGGACTTAACTTAAATATAGGGTACTTTCTTCAGTTCTGTAGTATGGGCATATATTGATTTTAAGAATCCTTCTTGCTTCTCTCCCTTTGTCACCACCAATATTCCCTGTTCCACCTCCACATGAATGAATTAATGAAACAAGTCAACTCCTGATTTCTGAGGAACTGATGACTCAGTTTGAGGACTAAAGTAAAGAGAGCAGGGACAACAAAGACTCCTGGAATGCTTGATCATTAAATTAATGATATGTAACAGTGTGAGAGCATCTAGTGGTGGAATTTACACACAGAAATCACAACAGGGGACCAAATTATGTACAAATGTAGAACCCAGACGTATAAAGAGGAGACACAAGGTCAGCATTCTTTCTATAAGAGACTTTACATACACACTCTGTCCTCTCCAGACTGTATTTTGATTGTCTCACCTGTCTCGTCTTTGTCTGGATGAATGCTTTTATGGACTGTTTTTCACTAAGTGAGAGTTCTGCTCAGTGGTTGTTTTACAGCAGCCATTTTGCAGCTGTCCTCGTGAACACTGTACTACATTCAGCCCCCAAGGATGGATGTGACCGCAAACTGAGTTAAATTTGAAATCTCAGCCTGTAGATTTCACATGACAGTAACTGTTTTTTACTCTTTTAAAAAAATAATTCAAAAACAGTTGACTGCACTCGATTTCAGAAATGCACATTTGAACATAATATTATTAACATTATATTCAAAGCTATTGGATATCTCTGAATGTTTCTTTAAAGGTGCTTCGGCTCCAAAGGGTCTGACTTCACAGCGCTGGGCAGTGTTGACTTACATCCGTACTTATTGTAAACATAGATGTTGAATTAAAGAAATAAACTTTAATTCAAAGAAATAAAGAAGTAAACTGTGTGACAGGTCGTCTGCTGCATTATACTGTAGCCCCACAGCTCCCAGTGTCACATCATGCTAAGAAAGTGTGCCTCGTCTTCGTATCACACAGCGGTCACATGAACCCTGCTCAAACTCTTTGATCACAAGTGACCTCAAACCCTGCTTACTAATCAGCTGATGCTCAGCTCTCAGCACTGTCAGACTCTACAAAAGCACTTCTTATCTCTTGAAAGCTAGAAGGAAAGGCTGCTGCTGTGAAGTGATGTTCCCCATAGATAGACGGCTGTCGCCGAGGCATCATTTGATGGCTTGTCACTGTTTCAGCCCGAGGCTCCAACTAGCTGATGATTGTCAGGGTAAAAGAACAGTTGTAGCCAGCAGCTTCACTGATGCTAGCAGGGAGTCAACAAAACACATGCTGACTGCTCACAGCAGAGTGCACTCACAATCATGAAACCACTGACTTGCTTGTCTTCATTCATACACCTAAACTGTATAAAACTTTCCACAGTTATCGTGGTGATCTGGTTCATTTATCGTTCTGTTTTTTGTCTACCTTTTTCTAGGAGACCATGACTGAGCCATCTGTCTATGCTGAGGATGTGTCCAAATTGAAGGATGCTGACGAACTCAAGCAAGCTTGCATAGGCCTGAAAGACACCAACAGGTACAATGTTACGGCCAGTTCTCCCGCCCAGTCTCCAGGTCTTCACATCGGTGTTGAATTCACCTCAAGCCCTGACTCCATCATCTATCTTTTGTCCAAATGTTGTATTTTACCGAGCTCTTATTCCATTATATTTACCATCATATACATGTAAGAATGTATGTTTGTGAACACTGCCTTGTCCTGTGCAGATCTCCTAGGTTCATGCGTAAGCCGCTGGAAGTCAGTGATCTCCTGAGTAGGCTGAGGTAACCAATGAGACGTGGCCTATGCATCATGGAACAGAGCATGCATGGCCACGCTGATGCCAAACCGGGTTGAAAATGTTACAAATGACTGATATTACTGAAGCTGAAACACCTGATTCTACATCGTAGTGCTGATGAAAGCTTGGAAAGCTTTCGCGTTTTCTGCCTTAACAGCATGTGAAATAATGTAGCAGCTCTCAGCTACAGTTTATGTGTTTCTTATGCTCTAACAGACTATGTTAACCAGTAATCGAAGTCAAGGAATGTGTGTTTGGCTTTGGAGTTCAGTTTTAGGATTCATAGGTCTGCATGGGTTTTGATAGTTTAGCATGAACAAGAGCAGAGTCTCTTAAACTGAAGCTGACTCCAAATAGTTTGTTGTCCCTCAAAACAAAGATACACAGATGTTTTTAGTGGCTTCCGCAGCTCTGCTCTGTTTTTGGAGACAGTGCAGAACTCCATATTAACAGTGCAGTATTTATAAAACGTGCAGCATGAAAGCATGGAAATGTCTGAGCTAAAATGGTATATATATGTAATTTCCAGCTGTAGTTTAGCCTTTATTAACACAGATTTAGAACATGACTCCCTCACACTGACTGTTCAGCAGTGATGAGTGTGACACTGTGGTAGGAGGCCTCCTGTCTCAGCTTTATGGAATGAGTTTGGCATAAATCCTGCATGACAGCCCACTTGTTGCTTTGTTTGTCAAAGCAGAGATGCACAGGACACTTTTAAAGAATTTAATATGAATACATTCATATTTTTGTTCTCCACAGTTTATTATCTCACTTTTTTACATTTCTTTCTTTCTGTAGACAGTTTTGCTCATCTCGCTGGCCACAGAATGCTTCAGACATGCATCATCATCATGTCAAGGCGAACACACTTGATATTGTACACACAATAGATTTGCTAATTGCAGACATTTTATGTTTCTAAGCAACGTTTTTTCCTATATAATTAAAGTAACGGTGTTGCATTGTTACTCCTCAGAGTTGCCCAGAAAGTTTCATGTGCATCACTGCCTTTATCCCTCTGTTTCTCCCATGTGACTCCCTTTGTTGCTTGTTACCTTCTTTGTTCACACACTGCCATGAAGAGTGCACAGTGGAGAATATTTAGTACACAGCAGGCTACACAAAGACAATAGACTTTACCACTGTTGCAAGCAGCAATGCAATGAAACAGAAGACATTTACTATATCTGGCTACTACTGAAACTTCCGCTTTTAGGGAGAAGCTTTATGGTTAAACCAAAGAAATAAAGAGCCACCTAAAGGTAGATGGAAGCATTTCCAGATTTTCCTCCACAATGACTTTCAGAACACATGAAATTTACTGCAGTCCACAAATAAAGGACAGTGTATTTTACATGAACACATACATACAGACACCTCAGATAAAGATATATTCTTGTTGTCTTTGCATACCTTTCCCCCAACCTAACCATCCTTCACTTTTCTTTTGATCATTGTGTTGTTCACGTTCCTTTGTGTTGTGTGTCGGTCAGATCTGCCGCTCCAGACTTCCATAAGCTGAATGAGGACGGAGAGCTGTGGCTGGTTAATCAGGGCTTAAAGGAAACCATCAGGTGTAACTGAAGTGTGCTATTTGAGCATGATACATTGCCTTTTCACAAGAAAGGATGTGTGCTGGGTTTTTTTTTTTTTTTCATTCACATCTTTCCTCTCACATTTGTTTTAACCTTTCAGAGTTTCAATCTTTCTGTTTATTGTAAGGTATATCTGGCCAGTTGCTCAGTTTTAGGCCCCAGGGCTCATGCTCATAGCTGACAGTAAATAAGTTTGATTTTGTGTTGTGAGTTGAGCACATCATGTAGTCTACTTGGGCACTCCCTACACACCACTTTACAGGGTGGCATGCTGTATAAAAAAATATGTAAAAATGGGTCCATTCCCTACATATGTAGCATAATATATAGTCTTTTAAGCAAGGTTTTGGGTTTATTTTTCCATTTCATTTCTAATATAGTGCAGCAGAATTTGTCTTCATCCTTTTACTAACCTTGTTCTACTGACGGCCTGTTCAATGTTAGAGCTTCATGTAACCCAATATGCACTGACGAGCTTGCTTCAAAGTAGGCCAAACACAGTTAGAAAAGTAAATTTTTTTCGTGATATTTTAAACAAACCCTAGGAATTGTTCACAAACACTATTTGGCTTTGATGCCTCATTTTATACTTTTAGTTAACTCTTTTCCTTTCCAATGTCACTCATCTCAAATTACATATAGAGAGAAGATACTTTTTTTTGTTTTTTGCTGCTATGGTATTAATAATAGATGGGAGTCTTACTGAATGTTGGTAAACTAATTGTCACCTGACTGAGTGGGAAGTTAGCAAACTAGGGTGAGGAGATCATGTATTGGAAGCAGGTCCAACCTCCCTCTGAAGCAAGGAAGCTCTGTCAGCTCTACCTGCTCGGTCGCTGAGTCTGATCTTTGACCACTGTGTTGGCTCTGTTCGACTTTTCAAGAACTTTAGGACTCACAATTAAAGCAAGTGTTCTGAGAAGCTGGGCTCAGGGATGCACAGCATGCTGCTGTCCTGCATCACCCCACTGTGGTGAAAACTTTAACTTTTGTCACTCTCTCTTTTACTGTTTTGTTTCACTATAGTGCTGACTTCTTTTTCTCTTTTCCTATTTATGCCCTTCCTCTTCCTTTTCCCTTCATCTCCCATCTCATCCACCCTCCTCCCATCTCATCCCCTTCCCACCTCAGGTTACTGGAGCACCAGCTGCAGACTCAGCGGAGAACTTATGATAACGAAGTGGAGTCGTTGCGCAGCGAGCTGCAGAACGTGAAGGAGGAGAACAACCGTCAGCAGCAGCTCTTGGCCCAAAACCTCCAGCTACCTCCAGAGGCCCGAATCGAAGCCAGTCTGCAGCACGAGATCACCCGGCTCACCAACGAGAACCTGGTACGCTGTAACACACACGCAGATATATACAGACTGAAGAAGAACTTCAACTTAAACATCAGACACACAACAGTGAGATCTCACATGCACAAATACACAGACAGAATCATATACATACAGGTAAGAATGGTAATATTACAATGAGATTGAGGTTAAGAAATTTACATGTAACAATGAAATAATAGTGTATACGTAGCCAGTGAAATTAAAAGTGACCGTAACAGAGAAAAAAGATGGGTTTGAAGCCTAGATTGGATTTTTTTCTCAGCTGAACATACATATTACATTCAAATAGTAAAATATCTAATAACATTGACATTGACACCCAACAGGCTTTGGGGACCAGCTCCCGCAGTGCAGATATGGCAGGATTAGTGTTTATCATAGTCCGTCATACAGATGGCTTGTAAGAAGAATATGTATCATACAAAAATGACTGATTTCTGGTTTAAGGGAAGTGCTGTGTTGCTGCCAAAGAATGGTAATGCATCTGTCTGGTGCGTTCAAACCAGAATCTGCTCTACATCAATGACAACACACACATTTAGATGCTTTTAAAGTGATGAACAGCACAGAAACATAATTTAGCTTATATCACTCAAATACAGAAATGCATTGATATTGTTTTGAAAATGAAAGGAAAAATTACCAGAGGATTCTGATCTTCATATACACGTTAATGAATTATCACTGAAGCTGTTTGGATTGGGGGTTTCATCCCCACCTGAGCCACACATACAAAAACTGAAACGGCCCCCATAGTGCTGCGTCACACACACTCATTTGTGTGGATGGTTTCACCTGACAGGAACTCTTGGCTGAAGACCCCACAGCGTCCCGAGAGGCTCGAGTCATCATTTTACGACGGATGGTTGTATGTAGAGATGGAGTGTGCGTGTGTGTGTGTGTGTGTGTGTGCATGCAATGTGTGTTTGCATGTGTTAGAACTAACTGAGGTTGTGTGTTCTGAATGAAATCGCACTGAACGTTGCTTTAACTCTCCACAGCAGCGTAATCTAACTCACAGCGGAACAGCTCGGCACCTTTTTCTCTTTTCTAACACAGCCAACGAAGTCCTGTAACTTCTCTTCCTGTGAAAACAATCAGCTGAACAGCTTTCATGTTTATTTAAAATACCCCCAACCCTCTGTTTGTTTCTTTCTTTCTTTGTTTCCAAGACTCACATTTTCCAAGTCACTGCTGAGTGAGATTTACGAAAGTGTTCCTTTTCACCACTGGGTGGCGACAGAGTGAAGCAGTCTTAGACTTTGCATTTGTCCTCACTATTCTCTCTCTTTTCTTTTTCCTGTCTTTCTCTCTATCACTCCAACCTCAGGATCTAATGGAACAGCTGGAGAAGCAGGACCGAACCATCCGCAAGCTCAAGAAGCAGCTGAAGGTTTACTCCAAGAGAATTGGAGAGATGGGAGGTACAGGAGAAATCATCAGCCGGCAAAGGCTTGAGAATCTGTATATATGTGAGTTTGAGTTCTGCAGTTCAGTATGTTGCCTGACGGTCATGTCTTGTGTGTCTCCCAGCGGGTCAAACCGAGGGCCAGACGTCTCCGGGACAGATGGTGGATGAGCCGATTCACCCTGTGAACATTCCACGCAGGGAGAAAGATTTCCAAGGGATGCTGGAGTACAAGAAGGAGGATGAGCTGAAACTGGTCAAGAACCTCATCCTGGGTAAGAACTAATCATGAAGATATAGGCAAAAATCAACATATATAAACTGAGATTATTTAAGGACCTTTAAGCGTTCTATGATTGCAAACCTCAAACTACTTTTTAAGATAACAAAAAAGGACAAAAAAAATCTAAAACTCCACATGGTCTCCCATCTGTGGAACGTGAGGCTTTGTATGACAACAGACACTTATCCTCTCATGTTTTTCCTCAGTCCATCACCGAACTTGTGCCCCCTCTTGTCTCTCCAGAGCTGAAGCCTCGCGGTGTAGCCGTGAATCTGATCCCAGGTCTGCCAGCCTACATTCTGTTCATGTGTCTGAGACACGCAGACTATGTCAACGATGACCAGAAGGTCCGCACTCTGCTCACCTCAACCATCAACAGTATTAAGAAGATCTTAAAGGTATGTATACTGTACGTGTGTGCTGGTTGATTAACCTTACAAAGGAGGGATGGTAAGAGTTTGGGGCGACGTTTACAGAGTATAGTAGTTTGGGCTTAAATGTGCGTAGGTTGGTCCCATGTGACTTGGGGAAAGGGAAGTGTACTTTTTTCTAAGAGGTATTTTTCAGTAATTGTGGCAGGATATTTTGAACTGTAGAGAGTCTGATAGAGTTACATTATGACTACTACCAGCTGGTTTACTGACTCCGGTTTGTTCTTCCTCTTCCCGTCAGAAACGAGGAGATGACTTTGAGACAGTTTCCTTCTGGCTGGCGAACACCTGCCGCTTCTTACACTGTCTGAAACAATACAGCGGAGACGAGGTGAGACTGACACACAAATATAGAAACTGTCTCACTCAAAATACGTACACATTGTTAAATAAGGTTCCTTAGACTTGGAGCCATTTGAATTAACTGGACATTGTGACAAAGTAGAAAAGCAGACATTTATTGTTTTATTGATTGTAATGGAACAGTGTTTTAATTGAATCTGCCCTCCTCTGTGTGTCTCAGGCCTTCATGAAGCACAACACGCAGAGGCAGAATGAACACTGTTTGTCCAACTTCGACCTGGCAGAGTACAGACAGGTGATCAGTGACCTGGCCATCCAGATCTACCAGCAGCTGATCAAATGCATGGAGAACATCCTCCAGCCCATGATAGGTGTGTGCATGTACACGTGTTCATTGTTTTTTGCATATGAACATGTATTTGCTTATGTGCATTATACAAGTACTTAGTAATTTGTGTGTGTGTTCCCTGCAGTCTCTGGCATGCTGGAGCACGAGACCATCCAGGGCGTGTCGGGGGTGAAGCCAACGGGTCTCCGTAAGCGGACGTCTAGCATCGCCGACGAGGGCACCTACACCCTGGACTCCATCCTGCGGCAGCTCAGCGCCTTCCACTCCACCATGTGCCAGCACGGCACCGACCCCGAGCTCATCAAGCAGGTGGTGAAGCAACAGTTCTACATTATCGGAGCCGTCACCCTCAACAACCTGCTGCTGCGCAAGGACATGTGCTCCTGGAGCAAAGGCATGCAGATCAGGTAGGAGATGTCACAGCTCAGGGAGGAGCTCCATAGCGTTGCTGGTTTGCTTGCTGTAGTTTTATTTATCTTTTTGTATTAACCTATGATGTGTGTGCACAGGTACAATGTGAGCCAGCTGGAGGAGTGGCTCAGGGACAAAGGTCTGATGACATGTGGAGCCAAGGAGACTCTGGAGCCTCTGATCCAGGCGGCTCAGCTGCTGCAGGTGAAGAAAAAGACTGATGAGGACGCTGAGGCCATCTGCTCCATGTGCCTGGCCCTGACCACTGCTCAGGTAAAACGTCATTTATTTCACCACATTCCAATAATCTAGACTAGCTTTTTAAATAATTTGTTCTCCACCATAGTCTGTCGAAAAGCAAAGAAAACCAAACCACTGTAGGTAAGGTGCTGTTGGAGTAACCTTTCTGTGTTATGTCTCTCTCAGATCGTGAAGGTCCTGAACCTCTACACTCCAGTCAACGAGTTTGAGGAGAGAGTGTCAGTCGCATTCATACGAACCATACAGGTAATTTATTCCAGATGTAGAAATATAACACGGTTTTCTGTACTCACTATTTTATACATTTGTAGCATAAATATTAGGGACATGAATGCTCCTGGAAAACTAATTGCTACTAAATTGGTGGACCCTCTACTCTAACCACCATTTTCCTAAACATTGTGTGTTATATTGTACTGTAATGTACTAGTTTACATCCTTTTTGCCAAGCTCAAAGCAACATATGGGCTGCACCAATTTTCTTCAGAAACAAAAGCTTATTGCATCCAAACGAATCAAAAACATTGCACATTGTAACATAAATAAAAGGAATAACACAAACTGCCTGGCTGTTGGAAAAAACTTTGATTTTGAAATTGAGATTGGCCCCTTTTTTCTGCAAACGAAATGTAACTGCATATTAATCATCTCATTTGCTCTCTGCTTTCTCCCTTTAGACTCGCTTGCGAGACCGCTGTGAGAGTCCCCAGTTGTTGATGGACACGAAGATGATTTATCCGGTCACTTTCCCTTTCAGCCCTTCCTCCCTCGCCCTGGAAACCATCCAGATCCCCGGCTCCCTGAACCTGGCATTCCTCACCCGTGTCTAAACCAAGGCCCTCATGACCCTCACTGGCCTAAAAAGACTTTTTTCCCCCCATACACAAGCATCACAGGAGAAGTAAACACAAAATGAATACAATTTGAGCTATCATGTCTAAAAAATGTATTTAAATGTCTCAAAGAGCCGTTAATGTTGAACACCCAATTCAGACCGTACTTATTTCTCTTAAGATATCCCTGGTCTGAACATGAAAAATTATACACAGAAACACATGCTGAACTGTCAACATGCATCTGTACAATACGTTCAACCTCTGAACGTACACATGCACGCCTACATGTGCACCTTCTCTCTTACAAAACGCACAAATGCACCCCAACACCCACAGTCATCCCGCTGGTTAAAATCTGGCTGTAAAACGCCATCGTTCCATCCACTGCTTGTATAAACGCCTGCCTCTTAGAGAAGCCACAGGACCAGATCAATGCCTCCAGTACACACCTGGGTCTGTCTTAGTGGTCTCGGACCCAGGTCACCCCCCAGCTCCCTCTGTGTTTCAACTAGTTGTTAAGAGAGTTCTTCTCGTCATCGTCTCGTTCTCCAGTGAGAATGTACGTACCGTACACGAGGCCCAGAGGTGCTGAGACCTCACAAAGAGGAATAACTTGATAAGATGTAGTCTTGCTTGATATGTTGGGTCTCTATTTGATAGGCAAAGTGAATTTTGAGTCCCAGTACGAAATGATAAATGATAGATGAGTGATAAAGTTAGCTCTCTCCACCCCATGTTGAGGTAACCTGGACCAGGCTTCGTTCTGTATGTTGTCATTTTACTCTCTGAACACAGTCAAGCCAAGACAGAACTCATCGTCTGTACTATATTATTTATACATATATAAATATATATAAATATTCATAATATGTATTTTATTTATTGCATTCACCTCCCTCCTCACCCTTCCCTTTTTAAGATTAGAAGCTTTCTCTCTGCAGAACACATGTCCGATTTGAAGGATGGGACCATCATTTCCCAAGATGAACAGCTTTGTGGGGACAGTTTTTAGTTTTAGTTCCATTGTACGCTATTTATGCCAATATCAGGTAAAAGATGTAGTATAGTTTAAAGGAGTGTCGGCACAGGTTATCTGTTAGGCCGCGTCTTAACGTAGAGATGTCGCTTTATCATGTTTGTCCTGCATTTCTGGCAGATGAAGTGTAGCACGGATTTTGACTGAGGAGAGATTTAGAAGGTGCGAAGGTTCAAACTCTGGCCAAGGGTTTGAGCTGCTACAATCGATACTGTTTACAGCTGTGACCAGAGCTGAGCGTCATGGGAAACACTGGCACAAAGATATTTACTCGTGCGTGCGCACACACACACACACACACACACACACACACACACATTACGCTCTGGTTACCGCTGTGTCGCTGGGATTTTTGCACTCCGAGAGCTTTCTTCCCTCTACTTGTCTTCTCTGGTCACAGCTCTAGTCAGAGTTTTGAAAATGTTTTACTATTATCATTGTGGAATTATTTATTTCAGTATTGTCATTTTCTTGAGTATCAGAGTTATGCATATCGTAAAGCCATGTATCACTGAGCAGAAGGTGTGAAATTGGTTTTGGAGAGTTTGCCTCAAATCTGTCCAGCTTTACAATGTTTTCTGACTTATTCCCACACTGACACTTACTGCAGCTTTGTGGACCGAGTCCTCTCATCGCCACTCCTTCCATCTCCACCCTATGCCTTCCCGTTTCATGGCAGAGAAAGAACAACATGGGCTTTTGTTACTAAAAACAACAGAATATGAATATGTGGAACGTTTGCGCTTTTTCCGTGTCTCATCTGCACCGTAGGGGTTGAAGTTCAGGGTTACTGACAGAAATATATTTGTATCCTTTCTGTTTGGTGCTCAGGTTGTTTTAGTTCAGATATACAGACATATTTGGTACTTGCTTTAAAAGGCTGAGGGTGACATCACACCACACCTGTTACTCTGTCAGTAAGGCTACAGTGTGGTAAAAAACCTGCACAGCATGCACCGCTGCTGCTGCCTTCATCTAACCTGCATGAGCTTAGCTTTATCTGCATTACCAGTTACCAGAAATTAACCCGCATGCTGTTGTTTTAGGGGTTTTTTTTGTACAGAGAAACCTCGGTGTAGTTGAGAGTCGATGGATGAGTGTCAGGGAATCTGCCCATGTTGTAACAAAAAGTCCTTGTCTGTTCACATTATCCTCGCTGCCTCCTGTTTTGCACTTTTGCTTGTTCACTTCCTGCTGTGCCATTAGTATTAACAGTCAACCAGATTTGCCTCTCGCCCTCACATGAACCTTATTTTTGCCTCATGTTAACTTACCCTTTCATATGGATATTTTGCTTTGATTGAATATTTTCTTTTTGTAAGGTGCTTAAATATATAGGAGATTGTGAACGGTCACCAAAACTGGACTCGGTACCTTTTTGTTTTGATTTAACGTTTTATGAAATCTAAAAATGTTTCTTACAAAGCAGCCAACCAACTGAAGAAGCTTAGATCAAACTGTTTTACAGCAGTGAGAGCCGGGGGTTAATATCAGTGAGTGAACTGGTAATGATACAAATATTTTACCAAGGTATCTCATTAAATGCCACCCTCACTCTTACAGGAACAAACTGCAGACAAAAACAAATTGTAAGTGGAGTAAAAAGAATTTCGTATGTGAAGTCATTTTGTGTTGCACTTGTATTTGGAAAGAATTTGATATCCATACGCTCTCATCGGGACCACGTTATCAGTCTGCTTTTTGTTATATATTTTGGATTAATTGCTAGTTTAGAGTATTGGTTGTGTAAAGAATACATATCTGCAGGTTGTAGCGAGAAGGATGGTAACTGATGGAAATAATTAACCATATGAATGTTTAAAATTGTTAATGAAGTGTATCATGATTTTAGCTGCACATTGTGGACAATGCCTTATCTGAATTAATTGCTATCTGAATGACTTAACATGATCAACATTGTGGCATTGTTTTGTTCTGTCAGTGCCCCCTACCCCCCCCTTAAAAATGGATATAAATTGTTAAATGTGATCATTTTTATTTTGATAAGGTGTCCTTTTGTCCTATAGTCGGTGTCACAGATGGGTTGCACTGGTTAGCCTTCAGTCAAAATGCACTTTTAAGATATTGCTTAGGAAGTCAGATGAATAATAGATGGGTATGGACTGAAATACTTCACATTAGAGAGCCTTTCTTCCTTTGATTCCCACCACCTCTTTACTGAACTGTGGCCCATAAAGCTTCCTCTACCACATTCCCTGTGTGAGTGGGCTCTTCACTTTCTTAATCAGTTTACTATCAATCAGTAGCCACAGGTGAGAAGACACATCCTTGTGAATTTCATGGATGCAGCACCAGCCGGCTCAGAGTCAGTCAGACTATCCTTGTGGACTGATGTATTGAGAGTGCAGAGTGGGAAGGCTGGCCTTGTTTTAGAGGGGGAAAAAAATACGTTCATTCATTGATATTGAGCAGAGGTGCGGCGCCTTGTTCCCCTGGGCTTCTCTTGGGCTCTCAGACAGAAGAAAATGTCATTCCTTCACGCTGCGTTTTTACATAAAGGAGAGAGTTGGTTGTATGATATGACGTAGACATTATAAATAACCATTGTTCTTATCAGCACTAGCGTTGATTGTGCCATTTTAAAAACAAAAAGATATCTCATCATCACCCCAGCTATTTGTGGTACTGGTGTGAACATGCTGAAGCCAGTACCAAATGTTTCCTCTCTGACCCATGTTGTACATTTGACAAACTGGACTGTTTGTAGTTTCTGGTAGCTGTGCTTAGTGAATGTGTTCACCGTTAAGAAACTAAGAAACTTGGAATAAAATGTCAAATCTGTAAAAGTAAAATAAAAGAATTAAGCACTGTCATATTGTCTGGGGGAGATTATTTCTGTTTTTTGTCCTTTCAGACACTTATTAAGAAAATGTCATCAATTAGTTGCAGAAAACTAATATTACTAAATGCCTGGTCATTAAATAAATCAGTCTGCAGTATTGATCTAAACAGGAAGAAGCTGTATGTTGAAGACTGCAAGTAATTGGAGCTAGATGTAATAGATTACATTCAATGGGATTACACAAATCTGATTACAACATAAATTTGCAACAGTGTACAAAAAGGAGAACAAACGTTACCATTTTGTAACTGATAAAATGTTGCCTTTTAATCTAGATTTGACTGTATAATCTTTCCAATGAGGTGATGTAATGTACAATAATATTACACCATGCAGTTTCAGGTCATCCTAAGGATTTCTAAATATTAAATCAGCATTGTGTATTGGATTAGGATGTAAATGTAACTTTCCAAGCCTTGCAGGTAAGGCTACGCAGCGTATGAAGCATGGAGGTAAAAGCAGTGCAGAGTCGCAGCTTAAACACTAAGAAGCTTACTGTTCCCTCCCTGTACCTCACTGACAATCCTCTTCACTGGAAAAACTCCGCTTAGTTCTCCAGGGACAAATACCTGCAGTACCGAGAGGGAAAACAGTCTCTAGTGAGGTAAGATTTTATCTTTGATACGGCTGATATTTGTGAAAGTAACATTTTGCTAACTGATGTTGGTGTGTTTTGTGTTTACATAAAGGTGCAAATGATTTAATCTGATGTGTAAATGTAACAAGAGAGTGTATAGTTTATAACTTAAATGAGCCTGTAAAGTAGAAAAATAAACTATATTTAGGACAGGTGCAGTTTGATAGAGGTGACTGTGATAAACTGAGATTGAGTTCAAGTGGTTAATAAACTATAATATCAAATCATTTTATTCTATTATACATACATCCTGTACCCTGTATTATATTGCTATTAATGGAAGGGGTAAATCTTCTTATTAAGGTTATAATTTCTGTAATGTGCAAGATTCCTGACTGTTTTTTTTTTTACAAATGTAATAGAACAAAGTGAAGGAAACAAAAATGTGTTCTGACGTTATTGTATATTACATCAATATGTAAACACTGGAAGTAATTTTGATTTGTTCCTGATGAGAAAGGTCATATGATATCATATCAGTTGTGGTTTGATTTCGCAAAGTGTTTATCATGTACAGTACTGTGTTAGACTGGCGGTTCCCAGAATAGCTGTGCTGCTCTCCTCTGGAGCTCAGAGAAGGATCAGGCTGGAGTAGATTACCAACTACTTATCTCCTGGCCCACCCACACAAACAAACAGACACACACACACACACACACACACACACACCGAGCAGTCACAGCCCAGCACATGAGTCAATAAAACTAAATATTAATGACTGAATAAATCTTTATGTTTGTGTCTGTGTTCTCCACAGGGCGTGTTGCTGATCATCTGCAGCCATGTGTGACCAGACATTCTTGGCTGCCACTTTTGGCCCCTGCGACAGCTGTGGGAAAGCCAGTCCACTAATGAACATCTACATTAAGAACGACGCCATCAACTACTGCTCCTTCTGTATGGAAGTGGTACGTGAGGTTTTCACTAAACAGCTGGATGAAGTGTCTTAACAAAATATTTATCTACTGCTAATTTAATTTAATCATTCATTTGACCTTGTCATTCAACATTGCACACCAACCAATCAATAACAATTGACAGATGATTTTTTAAAATGGAAAAAGAGAGATTAAATCCATACAAATGCATTAAAGTCTGCACACTGTTTCGACTGCGTGGCCTTGAAGCTACAGGGGTAACCGACTCTCATGTTTATCCATCAGCCAAGCTTCTACATATGAAGGGTATCTTTAGTTTGATGAGCAGTAACATCTGTTTATAGCTGAGGACAAAGCAGTCGTATTAATGTGTCTTTAACACACAGAGAACATTATAAGGACCTTGATGAGATAGATGCATGCCACGGAGCCTCCTCCTAATCTGTGGCTCTTTGTAAGCAACTCACTTGACTCCAGTATTTATCCTAAAAGAATTTTATTGCAGAGTTTACGTGTCTCTAAGGGAAATACTGAAACATGTTTGCAAGAAAACAACAAAAGTAAAGTAAAATAGTAATTGTGATTAAAACTCTGCATCATCTTGTGCAGATAAACCTTAAATCTTATGATACAGACAACTCTTTTACAATATCTCCTCTGTCAACATTGCCATATTAGATTCAATTTGAATAAGCTCTTGGAGAAAATGAGCCAATCAAATTGAAATATGCTTAAATGCTGGCAACTGCAATTACTGACATTTTACATTTAATCTCATTATTAATCTAATCACAATTTATGTTTAACTAAATGCTTTATTGAAGAGTAAGGTGGCACAGCTTTAGTGTGTTTTGACATGCTACATCAGTAATTAATTAAGCTGAAGAGAGGTTTAAAAGACACACCACTTTAGAAACAATAAAATAATTAAACTGCAATTAAAGAAATACAACAATGGAACCTTTTAATGCAGTTGCAGTATATATAATGAAAATCTCAGAGGAAGTTAGACATTATCTCTTAAATATATGAACTCTCCTACAATCAATGAACCGTGGCCAGAGCAGTGTCTACATGCCTGCGGTGCTCGCTAACTTGAATATGGAGGGGAGGATGGAGGGGAGGATGGAGGGGAGGAGGGGGCTGGGAGGCTGAAGCAGAGCAGGAGCGGATTCTGACACGCGCGGCAGCATCACTGTCGCGCTCGTGGACCATCTCAACTAACTTGTAACCAACCGTCCCATTCCCCCCTAAACTGTCCCCCGTTTTCTCCCGTGTCTCTCCCGCCCCCCTTTCCGCTTCCTCCTCTTTTCTTTTCTGTGTGTCTTTGTGGTCGCTGCCTCTCAAAGATGGCTTGTCAGGGGCTCCAGAGCGGGGAAACCCTGGCGTCACTGAAGAAGGAGAGCGACTCTCTGAAGAAGAAGCTGGAGGAGGAGCGGGGGAAGCTCAACGACATTGAGTGTAAGTGTCCGGGACGACATTGAAAACAACAGTTATTAACTATTACAGCACTCTGTCAGCTTTTTACTGAAACACAGCGCTGTTTACTGAAGGCGACACACTTAAAGTAAAACCCTCGTTTTCACACACCGGTTCATTCTGACATTTAGAACTATTTTGCTTCAGTAACATGTCAGACAGGTGGAAAGAAATAGACCCAGAATACACATTCAGCTGTTTATTTCACTTCACCTTGTCTATTTGCGTCTGTACAGTTCTTCTAACTTTAGCAAAAGTTAGCATTAGATAATGCCTCATTTGCATATTTAAACACAACATTTCAGAAAACTTGTCGCTAATAGAGAAAATAATTGTCTTAATGTAAGTAGGATCATCAAATTGTGAGTTCCATGGTGATATCCATTAGTTAAAATGTTCACCCTGTTCCCCTGTAATGTCGTAATTTATGGGATTTTACTATACATTTTACTTTAAAGGCTGTTTTCTTAAAATATTTTTTTTAATATAGGCTACTTTCACACACCAAACCTTCCACCTGTATATTCTAAAGGTTTTGACAAAGGGGTTTGTTCATATATAATTTCATTGCCTGATTTATGGAACATATTATTCATAAAAGCATGAGGAAAATGTTTTGTTTTTGTGGCTGTTGACAGATTAATGGAGTGATAAAAAGATACCCAAACTTCCCTTTGACTCTAATATGTCAACAAAATGAAACCAGAACACTGAATCTGGTTTCATCCAGTGTTCAGATTTATCTTCTGAAAAGGAATGCAAATAAGTGCATATTTCTAATGCCTTATTTGCATAGTTACACATAACATTTCAGAAAACTTGTAATAAAAACAAAAACAGACGTACTTTAAGTAAAATTTGCTGACAGTATTTCTGTAGTTTATGTTTCTGTTGTTAGATATTAAATATTGATATTGAACTTTCTCTTGTGATGGAGAGTATTTACATTGCAACATTCCTACTTTTACTTAAATAAAGTTTGTGAGTACTTCTTCCGTTACTGCTGGCAGTCAAAGGTTCTCATAAACCCGACACCGAATTGTTTGTGTTGGTACTTCAGTGCACCAGGTGGCTGAGAAGGTCGAGATGTTGGGTGCTCTCTCCATAAAGACTAAGCGTCTGCTGAAGGGTCATGGGAACAAGGTGCTGTGTATGGACTGGTGTAAAGACAAACGTCGTCTAGTCAGCTCTTCTCAGGTAATACACATGCACACACATAGAGATGTGATACAGTATATTAAGACGAATACGCTGTAGTTTTATCTTACATGAAGTCATCATTGTGATGCTATTTATGTATACAGTATATTTATTTTTTTATGTAATGCTGTTTTTTCTCTAATGTAGGATGGAAAAGTGATTGTCTGGGATGCATTCACTCTTAATAAGGTGAGGTCTATGTGGTGCTTTGTTCATATGTGAGAGAATGTGTGTATTCCTTTGAGTAATGAATTATTGTAAATTAAGGGGCTGAATATCAAAATCTTTGGATTCTTTTGAAATAAAAGAAGTTGAATTAAGGGAGTTTTGATATTCCTTGGTTAGCTAACATGGAGAAGGTGGGCTTTCTGCATTGGGACTCTAAGTTGACTGAGTTTGCAAATACAGTCATATATCTTTTTTCCCTAATAATGTCAGTTATCATGAATCAATAGGGTGAGTTTAATGTCTGGCCAAGAGAACAAAATGCAGTCATGCAAAACTATCTTCAGAAAAAGACTATTACTTTCTGAAGCTTGCTTTCCTAATTTAACCTTCCCTTCTTCTCCGCTCTGTTATGTAAGGCTAAGTGTTTTATTCCTTTGCATGCCCAGATGCTCAGATGCACAGATGTTCTTGTCACCATTTGTGCTGGTGTTGAGTGAGTGAGTGGGTCATCCTCTGCTGCCACACTCCTCTGAGGGAGAGGGTGCAACATGATCACATGGAAATATGCATTTAAAGATTATCTTTCCATCTGTCCACTGCAATGAGTGT